CCAGCGCCTGTGCCCCAGTGGCCTCAAACTGGCAACAGGGTCTGTCCTTCAGTGATTGGCGACCTGATTTGAAAGCAAGTGTGAATCCTATAGGGCAGTGATAGCGAACCTTTTAGTGACCGAGTGCCCAAACTGCGACCCAAAACCACTTATTTATCGCAAAGTGCCAACACGGCAATTTAACCTGAATACTGAGGTTTTACTTTAGAAAAAATAACTCATACATTAACCTAAGATGATCCAAACAAAGTAAGGAAAGCAATCCCAAATGCTTTCATTTACTTAAAATTATTTGGCAGAGAATTCCACACTTTAATGATGGTCTGGGCCTGGCTGCGGCTATGGCACATGTGCCCACAGAGAGGGCTCTGAGTGCCACCTCTGGCACCCGTGCCATAGGTTTGCCACCACTGGTATAGATGGAACACTCTGTTTGGGGCAAGTGATGCTCTGTATTCTTGGTGCTGGAGAGGGCAACAGTGGGAGGCCTTCTGGTCTCCTGGCCCCACTGCTGGACCTCCTGATGGCACCTGGTATTTCTGGCCACTGTGTGACAAGAGTGTTGGACTGGATGGGCCATTGGCCCGCTCCAACATGGGCTTCTCTTATGTTCTTATGTTCTTCTTCACCCAGAGTCATTAACACATAGAATTCCCTGCCACAGGAAGTGGTAGTGGCTATAGGCACAAAATCATAGAATCATAGAATGTTAGAGTTGGAAGGTATCTCACAGCCTCTGCTTGAAAACGTCCAGCCAAGGAGCCTCCACCACCTCCGAGGCAGACTGTTCCACTGCTCAACCACTCTTACAGTCAGGAAGTTTCTCCTGGTATTTAGCCGGTATCGACTCCCTTGTAATTTCTACCCATTAGATCTAGTCTTGCAATCCGGAGAAAGAGAGAATAGATCTGCTCTGTCTTCTCCATGACGGCCCTTCAGATACTTTAAGAGTGCAATCGTGTCCCCTCTAAGCCTTCTGTTTCCCAGGCTAAACAGACCGACCCAACTGTTTCAGCCTTTCCTCGTAAGACTTGGATTCCAACCCTCTCACCATCCTGGTTGCCCTCTTCTGGACACGCTCGAGCTTGTTGACATCCTTCCTAAAATGTGGTGCCCAAAACTGGACACGGGACTCCAGGCGAGGCCTGACCAGAGCAGAATAGAGCGGAACGACCACCTCCTGTGATCTGGACACAGTGCCTCTGTTAATGAACCCTAAGACTGCATTAGCTTCTGCTGGGAGAGAGGGGCCAGGCCAGGATCTGTTCTCCTGTCCAAAGCAGATCAGCTACAGGGACCCACCAGAGAGGCAGGAATGTCCAGCTGAGGCTCTGAATCTTCACAGCGAAGAGGTGGCTTTTGAACCTGAGAAACCTACAGGGAAGGATCCAGGAAAGGAACTGCCTGCAGCAGACTCCAGAGGGCGCTCTGCTGCCCAGCTGCCTGGGAAAGAGAAGGCTTCCTAACTGTGTAAGAGTGGTTGAGCAGTAGAACAGTCTGCCTCGGGAGGTGGTGGAGGCTCCTTGGCTGGACGTTTTCAAGCAGAGGCTGGACGGCCATCTCTCGGGTATGTTGTAGGTATGTAGGGCTCTCTTTCGGCTGTGCTCCTGCAGTGTGCAGGGGGTTGGACGGGATGACCTGTGAGATACCTTCCAACTCTAACATTCTATGATTCTATGATTTTGTGCCTATAGCCACTACCACTTCTTGTGGCAGGGAATTCTATGTGAGAGAGACAGAGAGACGGGGGTGCTCGTGGCCTTCTCTTGGCAGAAACTATTTTGCCATTAAACCTGTTGGTTTCCTGTTCTTTATTCCCATTCTGGTGGAAGCTTTTTCACTGGACATTTTCAAGCAGAGGCTGGATGGCTACCTTTCGGGTATGTTGCAGGGCTCTCTTTCGGCTCTGCTCCTGCAGCGTGCAGGGGGTTGGACTAGATGACCTGCAAGGTCCCTTCCAACTCTAACATTCTATGATTCTAAGTCCCTGGAATTCTGCCCAGCCTGAGGAGCATAACCAAGCCGAAAAGAAGGAGCCAGTGAGGTATAGCAGAAAGAGCAACCAGGGTTCAGATCCCCACATCTACCATGGAAACTCGCTGGGTGACCTTGGGATCCTCACAAACCCTCAGCCCGGCCAACCTCACAGGGTTGTTGCTGTGTGAGAAAACGGAGGAGGAGAAGAAAAACGTTCTAAAAAGCCGCTCTGAGTCCCAACCGGGGAGAAAAGTGGGAGACAAATAATCAATGAATGTATCATAAATGCAAAATGCCCCCCACAAACCTCGTTAATCTCCCCATCGTCGGGAGACTCGTTGTAGTCGTTCATCTCATCCATGTCCTGCATGTCCTCATCGTCTTCGGAATCCTCCTCGCTGTCTTCGTCGTCTTCATCGTCCTCCTCTTCCTCCTCGTCGTAAGTCTGCTAAGACAAAGCAAAGGACGAGCTGCCATTTCCCCATCCAAAAACAACCCCCCCAACCAACTTGGCTTCCTGTCAGCTAACGCTGCCATGAATAGAGAGAGGCTTGTTAATTGCGTTGCATTCCTTCCCATGCGCTTAATCGCTTCACCGCTTATCTGTAAAGAGTTACTGGAGGAGTTGTGGTGTCTACCTTCCGTGGGATCGTCCTGGTTCCCAGCTTCGCTTCCGTTAGAGACCCTGGCCGTCTCCCGCACGCGGGAGCCCATCTAATTGGGTATTGCTGGGGGGGGGGGGTGCATACGAATGCCCTATATCCTATTATGCGCATAGGTAGTCCGCCATTCCTAACAGTGTTCCTGTTACTGCATCTATGGCTTTTCAATAAAGGTGAAACCTTCCTGGAAGCGTGCACTTCGTTGTTTTGCTGTGGACCCTGACACTTCCCTCCATCCGTCCTCCCACCGTCGCGTGACTTCCACCCACCCACAGGCAGGCACTCTCCTGTCCACATTTCGGATTCAAATCCCCTCCTCGACGCCTTCGGCTGAGAGGTGCCACCAACCAACCCTTGATCTCCTGGAGCCTCCCAACATCACCACCACCTGCCCTTCCCACACCTTGCCCCCCCCCACTGCCATGGCTAATGTAGCTCGCAAGCCTCTAAACACCTCCTTGAACAACGTTCGGTCTTATGTTCACCCCACCCTGTCCCTAGAGCATCTGCTTCGCATGTAGAAGGTCCCAGGTTCGATCTCCAGTTAAAAAGGACCAGACAGGAGGTGATGGGACAGGGCTCAGTGGTGGAGCCTCTGGTCGGCATGCAGAAGGTCCCAGGTTCAATCCCCGGCATCTCCTGTTAAAAGGGCCAGGCAGGAGGTGATGGGAAAGACCTCTGCCTGAGACCCTGGAGAGTTGCAAAGAGGGGCTGTGGCTCAGTGGCAGAGCCTCTGCTTTGCATGCAGGAGGTCCCAGGTTCAGTCCCCGGCATCTCTGGTTAAAGGGACCAGGCAGGAGGTGATGGGAAAGACCTCTGCCTGAGACCCTGGAGAGCTGTAAAGAGGGGCTGTGGCTCAGTGGCAGAGCCTCTGCTCGGCATGCAGAAGGTCCCAGGTTCAATCCCCAGCATCTCCAGTTAAAAAGGACCAGGCAGGAGGTGATGGGAAAGACCTCTTTGCCTGAGACCCTGGAGAGCTGTAAAGAGGGGCTGTGGCTCAGTGGTAGAGCCTCTGCTTGGCATGCAGAAGGTCCCAGGTTCAATCCCCGGCATCTCCAGTTAAAAGGACCAGGCAGGAGGTGATGGGAAAGACCTCAGCCCGAGACCCCGGAGAGCCGCTGCCAGTCTCAGTAGACAAAACTAACTGCGATGGACCGAGGGTCTGGTTCAGTAAAAGGCAGTCTCATATTTCAGTGCTTATGCTTTGTTTCAGCTCTGCCTGAGACTTCTGTTTGTCTTCAGATTTCTGCAGCCCAAATCCTATTGCCCTATTCATTGGGTATGACTGTATTTCATTGACGCGACAACGAACAAACAAACCAGTAAGGATGGGATGGAGTCCTGGTTTTAAACTGAAGCTGCACTGAGAACCCACAGGCTCATCACCTAAGTAGACATGACCACACAGGCTTCCGTCTGCCTCTCCCCTCACAGCAAACTCCCAGTCCTCTTAGACCCTAGGAACACCCCATTGCTCCCTCTGGGCAAATCCAACCTCCCATCAGACTAGAGTTCAGGGGCGCCCAATGAAGCTGAGGGGCAACAGATCGGGGACTGCAGGCATCTTTCACTTCAGGGTTTAAGGGGCTCATCCTCACGTCGTGCGAGAAAGAACGCAGACCCCCCCCCCCGACCCCCCGCATGCCAAAGGATGACACCAGAGTTACCTCAGAAGCCGGCTTCCCAATCGGGACCAAGTTGTTATCTTTCTCTGCGATGCTCTGCAACTGCAAACAAAGCACAAGAAATCAAGACAGAAGAAAAAGGGATGGGACTTATACCCCGCCCTTCGCTACCCGAAGGAGTCTCAGAGCGGCTTACAATCTCCTTCCCCTCCCCACCGCAGACACCCTGGGAGGTAGGCGGGGCTGAGAGAGCTCTTTTGAGGACTGCCCTTGAGAGAACAGCTCTGAAAGAACTTGTGACTGACCCAAGGTCACACCAGCAGCTGCATGTGGAGGAGTGGGGAATCAAACCCGGTTCTCCCAGATTAAAGTCTGTGCTCCTAACGACTACACTATGTTCAATGTGGCCAAGTGCAAGGTGATGCACATTGGAGCCAAAAATCCTAAATATAAATACACGTTGATGGGTTCTGAACTGGCAGAGACTGATCAAGAGAGAGATCATGGAGTCGTAGTAGATAACTCACTGAAAATGTCGAAACAGTGTGTGACTGCAATAAAAAAGGCCAATGCTATGCTGGGGATTATTAGGAAGGGTATTGAAAACAGATCAGCCAGTATCATAATGCCCCTATATAAATCAATGGCGCAACCTCATTTGGAATATTGTGTGCAGTTCTGGTCACCACACCTTAAAAAGGATATTATAGCTCTGGAAAAAATGCAGAAAAGGGCAACTCGAATGATAAGAGGGTTGGAACACTTGCCCTATGAGCAAAGGTTAGGGCTCTTTAGCTTGGAGAAACGACGACTGAGGGGTGACATGATTGAGGTTTAGAAGATTATGCATGGGAAAGAGCAGGTAGAGAAAGAGGTACTTTTCTCCCTTTCTCACAATACAAGAACTCGTGGG